GTCTGCTCTCGAATCTGACAAGTTTCTTTCTGCTCCGCCTGGCCCTGTCCGGGCGGGCAGTCATTGTGGCCCTCCTGGTCTCTTTGCTCCTGAGCAAGATGGCTTCAGTCTTTGTCTCAGAGATTTGGAGTTTGGCCATCCTACACCACTCATTGATCTCATTGACTATTTGTTGGCCTTTAACCTCGATTTCTCTCCGGGAGTTGCCGGTCACTAGGACCAGAAGGTCATCCGCGTATGCAATGTAGCGGTCCTTCGCGGAGTTATCTAGGATTTTTAATAATCCGTCGAACATGAGGTTCCATCCACCTGGTCCGAGCACTGAGCCTTGTGGGCAACCTCGCGTGGCTTGTTTGGAGACAGTGATTTGACCGCTTGCTATCGTGACCTGTCTGTCTTTGAAGTAGCTCTGCAGTACTCCGAACACGTTTCGGGGGCACTCCCTCTCCTTGAGGGCCTGGAACACCAGGGGCCACCAGACATTATCAAAGGCGCCCGAAATATCAAACAATAGGGCAACTACGTAGCCTTTGTCTGCGTTAGACACCATTTGGCGCAATTCGACGATTGCGTCCTCCGCCGATCTTCCCGGCATGAAGCCGAACTGTCGGTTGGAAATTTTCCCTGGTGCCAGCGCCGTGTCCGTCAAGCGCAACATGAGAAGTCTTTCAAAGAGCTTCCCAACAGCTGAGAGCAGGCATATTGGCCTGTATGACTTTGGATCTTTCTCATCCTTGTCTTCGCCTTTCAGGAGGACCCTTAACGAGCCTATCTTCCATACCGAGGGAAAGGTTTCCCATTGAAGACATCCATTGAATAGCCTCGTAATTTGGTTTGGGATTATCTTACATACTGCTTTCAGTACGTTGCTCTCAACAAGATCTAGCCCAGGTGCCTTGTTGTTTTTGAAGCGTTTAACCGCCCTGGCCACTTCTAGCCCTGTGAAGAGTGGGGCGTCGGCCGTATCTGGCGCTATGTTTGCTTCTACCCTGATATCTCGCTGTTCGGGTGTATCCTCTTCTTCACGGTCATCTGGAACGTGTACATTTAATAGGCGTCTTGCCGTTTCTTCCACGTCCATTGTGAAGCAATCGCCCCTTCTGAGCGTGCTTATGACCTTCTCTACTCTCAGCTTATTGGCTTGTTGCTTGTATATGAAGCCCCATGGCTCTTTGTTGCCATGGCTCGTGACAAATTCTGTCCAGCTGTCTCGTTTTGCCTTTCTAACCTCTTGGCTGTATTGTCGCAGTGAGGTGCGATATTGCTCTTTAGTGCTCTTAGGACTCTCTGGCTTCTTGGCCTTCTGGCATTCTCTTCTGAGGCGTGTGACCTCTTTCTTTTTCATAGTCAACTCCTTTGTCCACCACGGGTTGGA